ACTGGACTTACTGACTTGCTCTCTGGACTCTTGAACCCTTGGCTTGCTTCTAATTTTGCTTCTTGGAAGATTTGGACTGGTATTGTACTTTGTGAACTGCCTTTGTGTTTCAGACTTGCATCGGTGTGCTGGCTCTTATCAGTTACTTTGCTGCTTTCTCAGACACTAAGTGGGGAATTGAACCATGGTCTCCAGAGTCACAGTCCAGCACTCAAACCACTATGCCATTCACTATTTATTTCATATCTGGATTAGAATTGATTTAGGAGCTAATCACATGCCCAAATAAGTGACTTACCTTTGCTGGCTTCAGTCTTCTTCCGGGATAACCCCAGATGTTATCACACATAAACCACCACTAATTTAGCCATGATGCCACTGGTTAAATACAGCCCAGGTCAGACTCGGGTCGAAGCTGTGTTCAGCCGCCAAATTTTAGAAGATGAAAACTTCCGACTTCGAAAAAGTGCTGGCTGAGCGTGGCTTTGGCTCGAATCTGACCTGGCTGAAAGCATTGCAGCTAAATCAGCAGTGATTTATGAATGATAACATCCAGGGGTATCCCAGAAGAAGATTGAAGACAGCAAAGGTAAGCCAGTTTATTTGGGCATGCGATAAGCTCCTGTGACTATTGAACATTAGAAAGCTGACTCCATTCTGTGCTCTTAACACATGTTGCTCTTTCTGCCATTACTATGTGCATCTTTCCTTTTTTTTTAAGCTGGGAAGTTAAATGTATGAAAAGTATAATTAAAATCAAGCAGTGATGTATTCAAGTCTTTTACTCCAAGTCTCAAATCAAATCTCAAGTCTCTGCCTTCAGGTCTCAAGTCGAGCCTCAAGTCCTTGAAATGTAATTTCAAGTAAAGTCTTAAGTTGAGTCTCAATGTTAGAAGCCAACTTTTAAGAGGAAAAGAGATGGTGTGTGTGTGTGTGTGCGCGCACACGTGCTTGCGTGCATGCATGCGTTCGATTAGTAGAAACTCAAGAAGATATGCACAAAGTTAGCTAAAAAAAATTCTCAAAGGGGAACAACAAACACATTAGGCAATGGGATTGAGGTTGAAAGATTCTTTTAAACACTTCAAATGTTTTAGAAGGCTCCTTTAGTTTACAGTGGGGACAGGCTGCCTCAAGCACATTGCCTAACACATTTACTGTTTCTGGATGAAGCTAGGGCAACAAGTCAGTCTCTAAAAATATACAAGTCTTGGGTTGAGTTGAGTCAGTGCATCATTTACTGCTGGGTTGAGTCCAAGTCAAGACATTGAAGTGACTTGAGGAAATATGTAATTTACAAACTTTTGTTTTGTTGACATCAGCAGCATAGTACCTTCTTTTGTGACATTGGTGGTGTCTTCATGGGCCAGGATATTCTGGGATCAGTCTTCCCCATTACTTGGGCTCCTCCATTGTGACACCAGGTGACTATTTGCATGGGCATCCCGCTGTGCCACTGGCACTGCCTCTGCCACTATGAGTCGTTTTACTCTGAGGTCAGAATGAATCACCCAGTGTAGATCACATGGCTGGGTTCCTCATTGTGACCTCAGAGCAAATGAAGCTGGCAGCACCCAGTGGCACAATTGGATACACAGGTGAACAGCCACCTGGCGTTGCACTGGAGGGCTCTGGATCTTCTGGGAAGGTCCAGAGCAAGGTTTTTAAACTCCATTTTAAGAGGGATATACCCTGGGTTTAGTGCTGGACAGAGTGGATGTCATCTGGGCTGTTTGCACCAGAATTGGAGCTTGGACTGTGTATCATTTGGACTCCCTCCCAAGTAGACAAGGAGAGGCCATTTTATTTGACTCATTCAACAGCCACTGACTGAAGTTTGCAATCAAATGGTATGTGTATATGGATGACACAGATCTTCCTTATCTCTTAGCTAAAACTATGAAGAAGAAGAAGAAGAAGAAGAAGAAGAAGAAGAAGAAGAAGAAGAAGAAGAAGGAAAGAAACAATAGTATCGGTCAGGTATGCACATAACAGTGAACAAGGCAATGGTCTGTTGAATTCTAGCTTAGCTGCTAGCTTGTGCACTTGACTGTGCACCCTAAAATGGAAGCTGACAAAAGGAATGGGGGAGATATAGATCTAAAATGGGGAGAGCAAACTGTGCTTTGTTGGGTTCTCTGCAAAACTGTGTATCTCTGGACCCATGGATGGCTGCAGGGGTCACATCCACCTTATTTCCTACCTTCTCACATGTCCCTGGGTCACACTTCTCATTTCCAGAGGAAACCAGAAGAGATTGAAAGGCAATGTCTGTTTTTGTTTTATGAGCTGAAGCGGCTAAATCATGTTTTTGGGAGGCATGGTTTTAGCGGAGGATCAGCCTATCGGGTTTAAGCTGAGGATCAGCCACCCCGAGGATGCTGCTCGGGGACAGTAGCTCCGCTAGAAAGGAGCTTAAATGTGGTGCTCCTCAAGGCACCATACTGTCCCCGATGTTGTTTAACATCTATATGAAGCTGCTGGGAGAGATGATTCAAAGACATGGGGCTGGGTGTTATCAGTACGCTGATGACACCCAGATATATTTCTCCATGTCCCAGTCATCAGCCTCGGCTTCTGATGGCGTCTCTCCTCTTAATGACTGTCTTAGGGTGGTAATGGACTGGATGAGGAAAAACTGAATCCAGACAAAACGGAGGTACTTACAGTAGCAGCCCCAAAACCAGGTATTGGGATACAACCTCCATTCCTGGATGGGATCACACTTACCACGAAGGACTGTGTTCACAGCCTGGGGGTGCTCCTAGACTCATTGCTTCACATGATTAATCAGGTGAATGCGACGGTCAGGAGTACCTGTTATCAGCTTCGCTGATACGCCAGCTGTGCCTATTCCTGGAAGTAAGGGATCTCAAAACTGTGGTACATGCTCTGGTAACCTCCCGTTTAGACTTCTGCAGTGCACTCTACATGGGGCTACCCTTGTGCTTGATCCAGAAACTTCAATTAGTCCAGAATATGGCAACCAGGTTGGTCTCCGGTACATCCAGGAGAGACCATATTACACTGGTCTTGAAAAGACTTCACTGGCTGCCGATCAGTTTCTGGGCCCAGTACAGGGTGTTGGTTATCACCTTTAAAGCCCTACATGGCTTGGGTCCATCCTGTCTCTGGGACCGTCTCCTTCCGTATAATTCCACCTGCACACTTCGGTCCTCTGGGAGGAATTTGCTTCAGCCAGCTAGATCTAGATTGTCGACAACCTCCCAGAGGGCTTTTTCAGAAACCGCTCCCAGATTATGGAATGGCCTGCTGGATGAGATGCGTCAAATTACCAACTTAGACAGCTTTAAAAAGGCTGTCAAGATGGATCTCTTCTGGTAGGCCTTTCCTGATTAAATTCATGACCAAGGACTAAGGACTAAGTAAATTCTCCCCCCTTGCTGCCAATCTTGCCATACTATGCTGTATTAAGCGGACTGCCTATTAGACCTTTCTAAGTGCTATTGCTGCAAATTAATATAATTGTTTTATTATTGTTAATTTATTTTAAATTTATGATGTTTAATACTGTTTTAATGGGAGGGTGGGTTTGGGCTTGGGAGGATTATTGTGTGATTTTATTGTTGTTAGCCACCCCGATTACTTCGGTAGAGGGGCGGGATAGAAATAATAATAATAATAATACTAATAATACTAATAATAATAATAATATGATTGCTCTGGAGAACTGAGTCCTCAATTTCCAGTAATTTTCTTTGTGATGAGGGAGGAGAACTTGGAAAACTCTGGGGGAAGAGGCTCTGGGGGCCATAGCAACAGCCTCAATGGGCCTCATACAGCCCATAGGCTATACCAGGGGTAGGCAATCTAAGGGGGCCGGATGCACCCCCCTGAGGCCTTTGGACCGGCCCCAGATCGGTCTTGCCGCCACCGCTGTTGCCACCGCCTGCCATGATAATATTGATTATTGTTATTATTACTTGTTCTTGGGGTTTTCTTGGCAAACCTGAGTGTAATATAGGATGGGGTATAAATATTCAGGCAGACCCATATAACTTGCAGCCATTGGGTTCTGTTTTTTAAAGGTGCACTTTGGGCCACGAGAATACCCAATTCAAACAAATATTGTACAAGGAACAGTTAGGGGATCCACCAAAGCTAGTTCACGTCAAAGCAGGGAGATGTGAGGTCATTGTTGTCATTGTGTGCCTGCAAGTTGTTTTCCACATATGGCAACCCTAAGGCAAACCTGTCATGGGGTTTTCCTGGCAAGATTTATTCAGAGGAGGTTTGCCATGCTGTGAGGACACAGCAGTTAAAGGAGGAGGCAGGGGGAGTTGTCAAGAGGCAACCTGAGGATAAGCAGAAAGACCAAAGACCACAGGTTTCAAAAGCAAGCCAGGGAGGACTCCAAATGGTCAAGAAGTCAAGGGAGTTCATGGGTCAGGAACATTATATTGCTGTCAGAAAGAAGGACATTGAAATCAACCATATCATGTCTCTAGCATGGGTGCCTCATAGCCAGCTGCCTGGGGTAGTGCAGATGATGCCTTATTGGGCTGTCTTCAAGCCTGGCACTCCTTTTGTAGCTGGCCTTTAACTGCCATGGCTCAATGCTATGGAATGCTGAAATTTCTAGTTTTGTGAAATGTTTAGCTTTCTCTGTCATAGAGCTCTGGTACCACAGCAAATTTCAAATCCAGGATTCCACAGCATTGAGCCATGGCAGTAAAGCAGTGTCAAACTGGATTATTTCTGCAGTGCAGATGCAGCCTTTATAGTGTGTGTGTCTATATGGAAGAAGTCCAGGGCACATGGCTGTTCCAGTGCACATTATCCATCTTCAAGATAATATGCAACATCAGACGACATGACACTTTACAAAAATCAGGCCTCTGCCCTAAACTGCTTGCAATCAATGCTGGGAAGCTTATAGCTGCCTATAATATTCATGCTTAACATTTACTATAGGAAGCAATGGTGTCACATTGGCTCAACCCTAAAGTACACAATGGCCACATTGAATTGGTAAGGGACATCATTGTTCTCAAGAAGAGATGAGAAGTTGGGATATTTTCCTATGACTGATCATATGAAAATGAGTTGGTGCAATCATATCCTGAGGGAGGAAAATAAGTAATAAAATGGAGCTTTTGTCAAGAGTCACAGGGAAAATGTAGAAATGGCTCTCATTTATATCCTTTAAACTGTTTTATATATTAATTACAGTGGAAATGAATATTCATAGCAAATGTTCAGTGTGATTAATT